AAAAAAAGATTGAAGATTCTCTACCATCACCAGGAGGGTGAGAAAGATTTCATGAGTTATCTACCTTCACCAAGAGGGTGAAAAAAGATTGAAGGTTTGATGTCGTCACCATAAGGGTAACATAACTTTCGGTTCTCTATCGCTTCAGATTTGATGGAAGTGATTTGTAATGGCTTCTATGCCTTGCTATAGGGGCAAGAGGAGAGTCACTATAGTGTCAATGCAATACCTAGAGAGGAGGACTCCGAGAGTGGATGTAGGTCAAGGTTGACTAAACTACTATAAAATTCTAGTAGTATGCTCTTTCTAATTTTTCCTTTAACCTCTTTTATTTTTTGCACTTTAAATTTCTTGCACAAGTTTAATTTTCCATTGCCAACTGCAATAAGATTTAATTTTTGTTAGCAAAAAATTACATATTCCTCTTGATTTATATGTGCTTCAAAGCTTTAAAATAGAAAATCAAGTTTTAAATTAGTTCTGCTTGTGTTTGTTACTCATCTAGATTTTTTTTAAAAAGTTATTATATTACATAAAATTTTTTTTTGGGTATTTTTTAAAGTACCAATTCAACCCCCCCTCTTCGTGCGCCTTGGGATTGTTCAACGGGATCTTACAACCTCCTTGAACTTTCAATAGTAATTATTTCCTTGAACTTATAAGAGGCTTGATACAACAACAACAATAGTAGAAGTGGACAAGAGAAAAAGAAGAAAAGGAGTAGATAAAGGGATAGCTTATATTTTTATTTATTTGTTTGTATTGTTATATTTTCTTTAATTTTTCTTTATGTTGGAATTTTATCATGCTTAATTATAAGTTTGGGGGGCTAAATGAAATTACGTTTCATTATATCTTGCTACCTTAATTTTATTATTTGCCTTCAACTATTTATATTGCACTTTTGAATATTAATTATCATATCTTATATTTATTTTGATTGTATATGTTGGAATTTTAAAAATAAGAATAATAACTTAGATGATTAACAATACATAAAGTGGAAAATAACAGAATCAAGCAACTTTTATACAACTAATAATTTCATTAAAACTAGTATTTCCTAATAAAAAAGACTCCCAAAAAGCTCATAATCACATGATTACTTATCATAGGATTAATTTATAAAAGGCTAGTTAGAATGAATTATTTAGATTAATTTGAAGTTGTTATGAAATGTTGAATCACCAGAGAGCAACAATAAAGCAATTAATTTAGTTACTCTTAGGAAATTACAAGTCAATTTAGTAGAGAGCCAAAGTGGAGTACTTCATGAATGTTGTAGTATTAGCTCATTTTAGAAGTGTCACGTCACTACTGCTCTAAGTGACTTGGTCTTAGATTCAATTATACATTTTTATTATAGATAGCTTGGTTGAATTATTGAAGGGGTCAGGCCAAATTTATCCCTTATGCTTACTAATAGGCAAGGCTAGTAGTGAGGGTGAGCGTGTGTGAACGATGAGTGAAATATCAAATGATGTGTTTGTATATGGTATTGAAAGAGAAATCCATTTTTATTATATGTGGATGAAATTAGTAAGCACTAGTTGATGATTTAAAAGATAAAAAGATATAAGTGTTTCAATTTTAGGTCTTGGTGTTTTATAGTTGGTATCAGAGCAATGATTATTAGAAGAATAGAATTATAGTCAGAGCCTTAAGATTAATTATGAGCAGTAAAATAGGGTAGTGTCTTGCATACATGAAAATATGTTGCATATATAATTGAATATATATTATACTTTAAAGATATGTTTAATAGATCAGGAAAAATAATTATATTGATGGAATAAATGGAGACAAAGGGGAAAAAAGTTTGGACTAAACAAGGTAATTATTAGCTTCAATTATACTATATGATATATTAAAGTTTGTTGATATGATAGTACAACATGTTAGTGATAGATTGACTAAGCAATTTGAACAAATAATTTCTAAATAGAAACATCCATAATTCAAGAAAAAATGTTAAGGTAGTAAGAAGAAGACATATAAGATTATGAAAGTACCTACTCAAAGAAATCTACAATGTGTTTGGTGTGGAAGAAGACATGCATGATAGTGTTATAGAATTACAAGGAAGTGCTTCAAGTGTGGTAGCCAAAGGTACAAGATGATGCATTTTTTACTACCTGGATATGGACAAGGATTTGTTTAGACTGATGAAGGAACTAGGAGTGGTAGTTCGTTTGAACCTATACAATCAAGGGTATTTGATTAACCTCGATAAGAAATTACAGAAGTGTATGATAGTTCCATTGTTATAGTTTTTTATTTTGAATATTATTATAATTATTTTTTATTTTTGATTGAAATTCATCATATGATACATGATTGATTAAATCATCCTACACATATTGTTAGAGAATGAATACATGATTACATTGTTATGATTAATGTGATCAATGATTAGTTACATTTTATTTGTTACTATTTTGAAATTGAAATAATTTTCTTAAGATGGGTAGAATGCAATAACCTAAAATTTCAGAAACTAAATTTATTTGAAATTATGAAAATTTAAAGTGCAATATAGTAGTGCTCTGTTATCTATTCTATAATAACTCAGGGTTTTGTAAGCAATGTTGTATTCTATGGTGTCGCACACAAAATAATGTTTATATCTATATTTAATATACATATCCTCCAACCATGCCATCCTTCCCCATTCCATCTTCCTTACTTGGCAAGAAAGGGAGAGAGAGAGGAGAGAAGAAAGAAAGAGAGGGAGAGAAGGTCTTTGGAGGTTTTTTTTTTCCAGTTGCTTCAATTATAAAAATTGTTTTAATTATTGTAAGTGACATCTATGCTACATCTATTTTTAATGATTTTATGTTTTGAATATTTTCTTTCCTTAAAATTGATAAAAAAACAATATCATAGTATGGGGTAAATACCATTATCCTGGATATCTTGATTGGCTTATATTAAAATTTCACCAATTAGTTTTACACATGATATTTTGATTGAAGTGAGTAAAGTAAGTTTGGGTGTAAAATAGTCAATAACTGATGTACTGAATTTGGATATGAGATATAAAATTTGGATATAATTATAATTCATATGGAATAACATATATCATAATATATGCATATTAATGAGCCCATTGGATAAACATATATGTTATAATAATTATATATGATGTGAAATGTGTGTTAGAGCAAAAAATAAATAAATGAATTGATGTACTAGATAAGATAGATGAGATTGATACTAATATGATTAATATGATTGATGTCTAATATATTAATAATGAGAGACTAATGATTGATGACTAATATGATTGATATTAGATGAGATTGAATATTGATGAGTAGAGATTGATGATAAATGATAGATAAGATATATGATATATTAGACCAATAATAGATTAAGCAAATGGTAGATCAAATAAATGGCAGATAAGATAGATGACATATAAGATATATGATAGATAAAATAGATGATGAATAAGACAAATGATAGATGAGATAAATAAATGATAGATGTTATAAATGGATGATAAATAAGATAAATAATAGATAAGATAGATGTTAGATAAGACAGATGATATATGAGATAAATGATAGATAAGACATCCATATGAAAGATAAGAAAAATGATATATGATAGATTAGCTAGATGATAGATAAGTCAGATGATAAATAAGATAGATGATAGATAAGACTGATGACTAGTCGATTGATTAAATGATAACAAAAACATGACTAATGTTTAATATGTAGAAAAACAAATATTATGCTGATGCAAACATGATATATGACACACATGAAATGATCGGTTCATTTGATATAGAAATGACAAGAATTTGTACTATGAGTTACTATTTATATGAATATAATTTCTTGCATATTATTTCTATTTAGTGCATTAATTTTAGTTGTAGATATTGGTGCTTTGTTGGGTTTATATACTCATTATGTGTTTTTTACATATTTTCAGGTTATGATAAGAAACTTGGGGAGTGAGGTTGATATGGGCTGCAAGCTTATATTTTCTTTCTATTCTTACTAGTTCCTTTTGTAGTCATGATATATTTATAATGATAGTCTATTCTCATCAAAATAAATATTTCAACAATAAATTTGTTATAATCAAAGTTCTGATGGTGTTGACTTAATTTAAAAAATTTCTTACTCAAACATGATTCAAAATTCGTGATTGATGAATTTTTGGTGACATATCAAATCCACTAAAAGAATGACATTGATGAGAAATTATATTGATATTGAATTAAAAAAAATAAATATTGATATTGAATTGATAATCTCAATAAGAGCTATCCAATGTAATAAATAAATAAATTATAAATTATAGAAGCCATACTAATTTTAAGAAGATGTTGATGTTAGAGATGATGAAGTCGTCATTATTATTCTGAAGTAGTTGTCACATTTAGAACAATCTAACATAAAATAATGGCTTGAGAATCAATCACTTGTAGAGGCCGTAGGGTCTCCATAAAAAGTTTCAATCTTCACTCTGCAAAATTCAACATTTCTCGATATAATGAGGATTGAAATGAAATGATCACGACAAGAACTGTCGATAGCACATTAGCTACCCCTGGTGGCGATAACATGAGATTGTGGCTTAACTTTCATTGGATCAAGACTAGGCTAATCATATGAAGGTCTCGATTCAACTCTTGATCTAACCTAGGTTGGTTTGTTCGGGCTTAGATGCATACAAAGTGTGGGTAATTTTAATATAAGTTGAAATAATCAATAAGAGACTATCATCTTGACTTTATTTTTTTATCAATTTTGGAATCTAATTAGTTCTTACATAAAATTTAGAAGTTGGTTCAATTTTTGAGAGATTGAAATCCAAAAATTTAGGTCACAAATCGTGCTTTATGATACATGTTTTACACTCCCGATAGGAATAAATTAAACTAACAAATTTGATTAAATACGACTTTTATACTATTAATCTATCGATATTAATAACCAAAAATCTTATGCCATATCCGAGAGAAGGCGCATCCACTATAATAACCCTGGTTAAAAAATAAAGAGCCATTCCCGATCGACGGGTACAACCTGTCTTAAATCGCTGCTTTCTTTCGTCGATCATTCTCTTTGCCTCCTACTCGCCATCCCGCCCTCGATTGCTCGCTCATTCGAAATTTCTATGCCCGAGCCGATGAACAGCTGGAGGACGCTGCTTCTCCGCATCGGTGATAAATGCACAGAGTACGGCGGCTCCGTCGACTACAGGGAGCACATCGTGAGTATTTCCATGTCCCCTTCTTCCCCCTGTACTCGAACACTCGCTATCCTCTTAAAAACCTAGCCTTGAGCTTCATAGTAACTTCTTATTGAACGGAGCTACTGCCCAAATGCTGGCCTTGCTGGTTCTTTTAACTGCAGGGAAAGTTTCTTGATTTGTTGCGGGTCCATAACATAGAATTTGTTTTAATTTGCCAATTCAAGTTGATTTTTGCTTCTTTTGTATGTTCAAAGCTTTAGTTTACAGTTTCTTTTTACATTTTTATATTTCGTTACCTTTTTATATTTCGTTTAGTTTAAATGTAAGATTAGTTTGTCAATTTTTAGTTTTTAATTTTTATTTTTTCTTTCTTTTTTGTTTGAACGCTATGCAATCCTTCATTTTTGGAGGAAAGAAACTGTTCAATGTGTAAGTTTTGACCGTTATTTCAGGATACATGTTACAGCGTGCTTTTGCGAGAGTTGGAGCATTCTAGAGATGACATCATAGAGGTATAGTTGCCTTATCATCATTTATTATATGTGATGCGTAAGTAGGCTTTTTTGATTTCTGCATGTCTTTTCTTGTTTGACTTATTTATGTTGGAACAATGAACCCTTGTACCCAATAACCCTTTAGGCTAGCAAACAATGACTATTACAGTTATTTTATTTTTGCGATCAATAATGGCTATTTTTGATTTGTATTTACAAGAATTTAAGTCAATTATTTTCATTTTTATCTTAATATTTAAGTTTGTCATTCTTTTTACTCATCAGATACACTTGGTTGTTTAATGCAAATTTATTTTTGAAATACTTTTTTTTTTTTATCTAAACTCCACTCATTTTGGTCCAAGGTTGTCCAGGAAAGAACTAATTTTCTTTTCCCTTCAAATATATACCACTATGCTTGATAAATTTTTTCTCCTTTTGTGAGTTGAAGGAAGTTTATTTATGCCTGTTACTTGGTAAGCTTTGTTATTTCTCTGTAATTATAAAATTAATTTGCTTACAAATATAAATCCTTGCTACCTCAACAAGTTCTACTATGCTTCCTTAAACCACAGAGATTTAATGAAGTATAAGTTGTACTAAAATACTTATTCACCTCATGCAACGCTTAACAAGACTGATTCACTAATAAGGATGCATAAAATCAACTCCAAATAGTTAGGATAAGTTTAATGTTGATGAGTATGCTGTGAAAATATTTATAATGCATTTAATATTCTTCACTCCATGCTTATATTATCAGGCTGTGTTAATTTATTTACCTATAACAAGACCTAGGCGTGATAGTTGGTCAAATTTGAACAACCTGACCCAAGCTCTACCTCGAAGATTCTGATTTCTGCTCGAGCCAAGATCTTGTATGTTGAAATTGATTGAATTTTGATTTATTTTTAAGCTGATTTTAGTTGATAAATTTTTAAAAATATATATTTTATTACCAATCAAGAATATATATATTCAGTCATGTTATTAACTATGAAATATATGTATATTCATATATGTATCATGCATTTGTGTTTTATGTGGACATAAATATATATTTTTGCTTTCTTACTCGTGCAGGCGCACACTCACACACTGAGTTTGAGCGAGTCATCTTCAAGTTGGATTAAATAGACTCCGGTTTCAAGTAAATTCAAATTTGAGCGATTATTAAGCTAATATCAAGTTTTAGAAATTAATAGCCCTAACAAGATCTCTCAATTAAGAGAAATGGGAAGTGGTCAATTAGAGAAAATTACAAGCACTTTAACTTGGAACACTAAATTTAGGCAGAGTGGTCATTTGATATATTTAATTATGTAAGTTGATCGTTTTACAACAATAACAACAACAACAACATCAAGCCTTTATCCCTCTACGAAGGCCAACATTCGGCACCATAAAGCATTGCAGGCCTCACTACCATCTTATAGAATTTTCCCTTAAGTTTGAGGGGTACATTTCTATCACATAACAAGCCCGATGCATTCCTCCACTTCAACCATCCAACTTGAATTCTGCTGATAATATCCCCATCTATTTCACCTTCACTCTGAACAATAGATCCAAGATATCTAAAACGTGTACTCTTATTAATGACTTGATCGCCCAAAGTCACAATCCCCTCACTAGGTCTATTACTACTAAAATTACACTCCATATATTCCGTTTTAGATCTACTCAAGCGAAAACCTTTAGACTCTAAGGTTGACCTCCATAATTCAAGTTTACCTTCAACTCCCTCTCTAGTCTTATCAACAAGAAGAATATCATCAGCAAAAAGCATACACCAAGGTACATCCTCTTGCAAATGTCTAGTGAGAACATCCATGACTAAAGCAAAAAGATATGGGCTTAAGGCTGATCCTTGATGTAACCCAACCGAAATAGGGAAATACTTGGTCAATCCACCTTGTGTTTGAACACAAGTAATAGCTCCTGCATACATATCTTTAATGATTTGAATATAAGCATTATTGACTCCTTTCTTTTCAAGAACTCTCCATAGCACTTCTCTTGGAACTTTATCATATGCTTTTTCTAAATCAATAAATATCATAGGTAGATCCTCCTTATTTTCTCTATATTTCTCCATCAAACCTCTTAATAAATGTAAGTTGATCGTTTTAAAGGAAATAAAATTATTAAGTGTTATCAAGGTGAGACCTACTGTGCATAGGCTAATACTTGCTCATGTCCTCCATGGATGAAGTCATGTTGAATGTCATTGATCTAATGTGTGGATTGATACCATTGGCCTTTTAAAGTTGTGTAATGTTTGTACTTTTTATTTCTCCATGGTCACATTACAGTGGTACCTTGTTCTTTTTTTTTTTACTTTGCATTTAGCATTACTATAACAAAGAAGCAAAAGTGAACAACTATTGATGTACAATTCTATCAGATTCTTCCTTCAGCAAAATAAAAAAAATCAGGAAGGTTTTTACTTTAGGCACTTTTCCATATAAAATTACATTGTAACGCTAAATGACTACAAACATCGACTGCTTTATTGGTTTCCGTTGGCACATGTTGAAATATTACTTGGTTGTAGAGTTTCCAAAAAGCTGATGTCAGGGGCGTAATGGGGTCTAGTCTTTGAATTTGAATCTATCATGCTTTGGTGAAGGATGTCAATGACATTTTTGTTGTCTCCTTCAAGGATGAGCCCTTTAAGCTCATACATCCAAGTCTCCAAAATCGACTAGATGAAAAGTATTGCCTGAAGCTCAACTGCTGTGCTGCCCCAATGTTTCTAGGTCCGGCCTGCCACAATAATGAGGGTCCCATTTTCATTTCTTAGGATGACTCAAGTCCTACTTTGCAAGGTGGAAAAAGTGCAGCATCCACATTTTCTTTTGTACATCCAGGAGGGGGAGGGCACCACAGTTGAGAGGTGTTCAGCCTTGGTGGCTGATGGTTGCCCAATGCTCTTGAAATAGATAGAAGCAGAAAAAGTTAAGGATTCTAGTATATTGGCTGAAATGATAAGAGGGTTTCCATAAGCCTTCCATGCTTTTGTGTATTGCGTGCTCTTCAATTTTGATGAATCATGCAACAATAAAATCTTTCCCAAGCAATATTTGAGCCCTGGAGCTTGTTAAAGGCTGAGAAGACTTTATTTAAGGCACTGAATTGTGGCAGAGGGAAGCCCCAATTATTGAATATTTTCATAATAGCAAGTAGCTCCAATTACTAATTGCATTTGCAAGGATAGCTGGCAGAATCACATACTCTTGTTATGTTGAGCCACTGAGGTAAGAGCATTTTGTAACAATCTCCACCAAAATAATCTCTCAAGAGGGTGCAATTTAAGTTTAAAATGCTCCTGAATTATGGAAAATCGAGCCGCATATGCCCAAACAGTTATAGTTTTAGAAATGGGTAGATGCAATAGCTTAGGTTGGTCCTCAGGATAGTTATTGTGGATTGGAATTTTCAGAATCCGTTGAACTAAGCAGTCTGCAAAGCAATTATGTAGTTCGGCAGCATCCTGTTCTCTTCTACCTCTAGCTGAAATAAAATCTGACACAAGCTTATTCTCGACCTGCTCAATATTCGGGAATGTTGGTCACCTGGCTAACGACACATCAAGGATTTAGATTGAGCCAAAGCATGTACGCTTGCGCCATTGGCAATCTTCCAATGGATTATATCTTTGATGCATTTGCTCTGTCCACACTAACTTTCCAGGATTTTTAATCAATTTGCCTGTGTGGATGCCCATATGCTTTCTTCATATTTTTCATGCAAGCAGGTGCTGGGTAAAGACTAATTGTTGGTTGCTGAGGAATTGCCAACTTATGCTGGCATGAAATGGGCCTTCCTAATTTGCTAGGCATGAAACCCTAACCCTCCATTTATTTGAGATGTGCATAAATCGTTCTATGCGATGTAGTGAATGCCAACTTGAGTTGAGCTTTTACACTAGAAAAAAATTTGACACAATTTCTCTTGTCTATTGAGAACTCCTCGAGAAACCAAAGTATGAGTTAGGATATACATAGGAAGAGCAAGCTAAGATGAATTGTGGAGAGTTGATCTTCTGACCAGAGAGAGATGGCGGTCCCCCCATTCCTTAAGTATCTTGTTGGCATAGTGTAGCATTTCACAATGATCGTTTATGCTATGTTTTCTCCAATTTAATTCCTAGATAGTCAAATTCTTGAACTTTTTGAAACCCAAACGTGATGAGGACATTAGATTTCGACACGTGTACGATCGCCGGAGACGCAGATCGACGGCTACGATCCAGAGCCTCTACTTCTGATTTATTTGCATTTTATTTTATGCTTGTATTTCTTGTTTCCCAGTTTTTCCCCTGTGGGCATTGAGTTGTTTATGTAGCCCGGAAGGGCATTTGTATCATTTCCTTTTATTTCATTTTGGCCTACTTATATGAGGCCTCATGCATTGTAATAGTTTAGTTTTTTTGATGAATGAAAATTTGCTCATGTGTTCTCTTTGTGAGTTCATTTTTCCTAGATCTCTTAGTGAGTTCCTTGGAGAAGATAGATCTCTTTGTGAGTTCTAGGTTTTCTTTCCAAGCTATCTTTGTGGGGATTTGGATTGAGGATAATTGAGGTGAGTGAATTCGTGGCCACTCGAATCCCTAGAAATTTTCCCCGGCCATCCACCCGCTCCTCCAACTCCCGCTTCTTCCCCGACGAATAATCCTATCGGCATCACTTGTGTGATAGTGGTATCACTAAGTTTGCTTATGATCCTCTTCCGTTAACCGCCGCGTTCAAGAGTTGATTAAAGGATCTCAAGGTGAAAGATCTATATTTTAAACGTGAGGCTTTTGTTTATCATGGCTATTTGCATTATTTAGATTTCTTTGGTTATTATTTTGCAAAGCTCTTGTAATCCTCAAGTGTAATCAATTACCATGGCTTACTCTGTCATGACTTTTCTTGAACTCTACTTGAGTAAGCTAGACTTTAGAGTTAACATGCGAAGTTAATAACCTTTTATTAATATCTAAAGTACAATTCTTGTTTTCGCATTTGGTT